GCCTCTGAAAGTAAACCTCTAATGTGATTCCTTCCTGGTACTGGCTACAACAAATACTACCAAAATCAGAGAACAAATAAAAACAGAATCTCAGCAAATATTCTTTAGATTCATGATTAACATTTCTTCAGAGCCAAAAGAAACTGTGAATGCACGAAAAAAAACTGGCATGTACCTTCAAATCTCTCAACAAAGAGACAGTTAGATGCTCTGAGCAGTGGTACCTTACAAGAAGCTTGGCTGGTTACAGCAAGTCGACAAAAGCAGCCATTATAACTGAACAAAGACTACAAGGTGGTGAACTGTGCTCTATGGATTCTGTGTCCATTAAAACCCAACCTGCCATTTTGTACTGTAAGAACAGGAGGACAATTATTGACTTCAACACAATAGAGTACATCTACTCCTTTTATACTTAAATGCAAGGCAATGACAATGGAATCTCATTGTATTCCCTCAAACTTGCTATACGGAGAAACATGTCAGAGACAAGAAAACATTAGTGGAGCCACTCTCCCCTTTTCAGAGGAGGCTGTGTATCACATGATCTTTAGCACAGGTATCACATGAGCTTTAGCACTGATAATCAGTTTGCCTCAGGCAGAGTGGGTCATGTTCCCAATCATTCCTGTGTTACTCTGTAACACCAAAACAGAGCCATAACAGAATGAAGTGTGAATTACACAATTACCAAAAGTACAACTGAATGCTAATAGGGTTATTTATGCAATTTGCACAAGGGTGAGTTATTTAAAATGTCAGCTTAACTACTGAAGCTTTTGTCAGATTACTTGCTCAATGCTAAATTATAATTCAACAGAATAGCCCGACCTCAAAACACACAAAAGAGATTAGGTGAAAGTATGAGATAGATTTGCCAAAGTTGAAAAACCTAAATGTACTCAAATGTATCAGCAGCCAGGCAACCAAAGGTAAATAGGCAGATATTTACTTAAGCTGACCGCTGGTGCTAAGAGAACCTTCAGATCACACCTCTTTTCTTTTATGCCACTAACCCAGTCGGGGGGCTATACTGAGTGCATTACGGGGAGGTCAGACCTGTCATCTGCTACTTTAAACGGGCAGCTAATTCGACCTGCTGATGAGAAGTGCCAACGGCTGTGCCACTGCCTCTGACCCAAAGCACACCACACCGGCTTCGACTGACCTACTTCTTGAGTCCGCTTACGCATCAATACAGCCGGATCAGACCACATGTAAGGTAAATACTTTGGTAAGTGCTGTTTCAGACACCACTATTCACCATTCAATTCAATACATTACCACGTCACCTAATATTGGTCTTTCTACATCAATTATAATAAATGATGTCATGTCCTGTGAACATGGTCTGCTGGTCTGATCAAAAAAAGAAAGAGGAAACAACAATTAACTGCATTCTTTCTCGATTAAAGTAAAATCATATAATTGGAGATATAATCACCAAATTAAGTTAAATTAGTTATATTAAACTGCTGCACATTACTGGACCAACAATAGATTGACCTGTGGATGTGCTTATACTGATACGCATCGATAGATTGGCCAACAATTAGGAATCATGTGTGTCCCCAATTTAAACTAATGTGAGATCAACCTGACTTTAAATCTGAAAGCACATTGGGAACTGTTTGCTAGTGAAAACATTTCCCATCTGCATTATAGCTCTCACATATTATTGACTGCCTGCCACAGTCATCTGTTAGGGAAAAAAATACCAGAAATTATGAATTCAGATTGATGTGGTGGAGGAGTAAGGATGACTGCCAGCTCATACATCCACCTCTTTTTCTATAGAAACATATCTGGAAACGAGCCAGGCCCTAAAGAGTCTGCGATCACAGAGAGACAGCAGCGAGGAAATACACAAGAGAGATCTATTTCACTGGTAAAGAAGAAACACAAAGGGGTCACAGCGCCAGCATGGGGTGTGTTTGAGTTTCCACCTCCTACACATTCATGCATTAAATATGGTTCAACAATCTTTCTCTCCAATGACTCTCAAACCCCTTACTTCCCACCCCCACCAGCAGAACATTTCCTGGGGAATTCCGACCAGGAATGTATTCTTGATGACGGAGCAACTGAAACAGCTGAGAGGAAAATCACTTTCTTATGAACAGCAAATACAGTTGAGCCTTTGTCTTTTACTATTGTGCTTGTTCTCAACACGTTGTGGATCAAAATACTTACTTGGAAATGCATGAACCTTGTTACAGTTATTTATGGAACAGTTCAACGATTGCATGTTTCTCCCCGGGGTTGCACAATTTGAAAGAACACTGACTAAATGCACTTTACGGGAGCACGCGGTGCATTTAAAGGCCATGTTTGTGACCTGTGATTCACAGTAAATTAGGCGCAGAGTTGAAAGAGTGGACTAAAGTTGTTGTAGCAGAGATACCCTTAATAGCTTCCCATAATACGGAATCACTGTGGTAATGGCCTCTTCAATAGCTGGCAATGAGTGGGAAAAAGGCACCGTTTAAATAGTGCTTGGTTTTAATTACCGCTATCTAATACTTCAAAAGATTAGGCAGGAGGAAATGTAGAATGTTCACGTTACTTACGAGTTTGGGCTCTTTATTATGTTATAAGTTTAATATTTGTATGATTTCTTTTGGCACACACTCACAAACATTGCTTTTATAACCTTGGGTCTTGTGAATAGTATCCAGTGTTGTGTTTGGTGGAACACTAGGCTTTTATCCGTTGCCGCTGGCAGATGCATGCTTCATGTGAGCTTGTGACATTGGTGGTGCTGTGATCTAATTATATCTGTGTACTGTGCTGTAGGAAAGTGTGCAGTGCTCATTGTAGATGCTCAGATTGGGAAGGTCTACGCTTCTGGACTCATTGGCAAGCCGAATGCTCTTACTGTACGGTGAACCAACAGGTGCAGTGTACCACTATTGAGATGTTGCTTTAGTGTACCTGCAAAATTAGTTATCTGATTACAAAATGTCAAGAAAGGAGCAAATATGTTATGGCTAGTCTAAACATTAATCCTACAGACAATCCAGCTCAATGCCATTATAGGGGAAAGGTATTTAGGCTTCATAAAGCCTTTCCAGCACTGTGTAATCTGGAGATTATTTTCTATTGGCACATTTTACCAATCAGCTTTTGAACACTTCTTATTAAGATACTTTACATGACACAATTAAAGAAATTAAAAATCCCAAACATTTTGACATCATCATCCTTGTCACATTTATAAATGGCACTACAGACCACTGAATGTAAGCATTATTAAGGTTAAGCATCCATATATCTGATAACAGAAACATTCCATGGCTTTGGTAATGCTACTAATTAAAAGCTGAGATAATTTTACCATCACACATGAAGCATACTTTGAAGCAGAAAAAAACTAAAACGGTAATGCTTGACACCATCAACTGTCAACCGAACCGTTGGTTTTGAGACACTTTATGCTGATTGTTTACTTTTCAGAACATGTAAAACCAGAAAGCGGCCCTCTAGCATGTAATTGATTATAAAACACAAACACAGATGCTATGTGGGAATTAGAAAGACCAATTAAGCAACATGCAACAATGCTGCATGCTGCGGAGCCCTTACCTTTCCCTATAATGTGGTTGTCGGATGCTTTTATTTTACACTAACTGGTGCCTTACAGCACCACCAGGGATTCCATTTTTAGTACGGCTACTCCCACTTGGAATCAAGCCTCAGATCTCTATGTGGTGCCTTACTGTATAAAGCTATCCAGAATCACAGCTGCCTGCTGATACAGCTCAACTCTGCTGGTTAAATCACTCATGTCACCCTTCAATCTTTGTTTGAAACCCCCCTCACGCCATGAGTATCCTTGGATTGACCCTTAATGTCGAAGATGCCTCTCATAGAGAAAGCTCAGCTGCTAATACTGTAGAGGGGTGGGGTGATTTTTTTTTTTTTAACAGTTTGTGATAGCAGCCAAAAGCTTTTCTTGTAAATGAGAATGTCGAAAGAGGCTGACGTGTTGCTAATGTGGTTTGGCATAGCAATTGAGCGCAGGTCTCATACATTTGTTCCACAAACTGTAAAACCAACCATGGAAATATGTAGGGGTGTACTGCATGGCCCCTGTATTTCACATTCACGCAGTAACATTTGACAGCGCACACACATCTGTATGAGGCAGCAGGGCGGCCTACAGTAGGGAGTCATGTCCTTCAGGGGATGCACATCCCCCCTGCAGGTGTCATGGAGAAAGTAGAGCCAGGTGAGCATTCACTCCGACCTCAGCAAGCATGCAGGTGCCGGGAGATAAAAAATGAATTCTCTTACAGAGATCCAAAAAATGCAGATTTCTATCACTGGGCCGAAGGATTAGTGGGCTGGCAAGCTCAACAAACTTGACCAAACAGACCATTATAGAGTATCCCCTGCCTATTCTCCCCACGATTCTGTCAGCCTACTGTAAATCATCATTGGTTACATCCCTCCATGCTACGACAGTCCCACACAGCTTTGATGTTAAGCCGATCCAGATAACATTCAGGTCAAGTCCAAGTTACTGTACACCACATTTCTTTGCAGAGCAGCAAGGATGCTGGAGCTGGGCAGCATTAGTTGCCCATTCCGATTTTCGGCAAGCCTAGATATTTAACATGCAGCAACAACGCCAAACAAGTAGCCAATTAAATATTCATCATATTACCTCTTATCTGTCAATGTCAAAAGCAGTCATTCAAACATTAGGCGAAGACATATATTTGACAGGCTCGTAATAACGCACCGGATGAAGCAGATCGACTGGTGTTAAATCAAAAATAAAAGCAAGGACACGGAGAAGTGAAACACATCCCATTATCATGTGAAAAGGTCGTCTGCAGGCTATGAATATGAGATGTTTCTAGCGCTTCTGCTGAGCCAACATCGAGCGGTCCTCCCTGTAGTGAGCCCGTTAGGGAGGAACAGCACCTTGAACAACAGCGTCAGGGTTTGAAAACACACAGGGGGTAAAATAAGAAAATAATCTGAAATCCTACCTGATGTCTGTCACTCGTTAATGCATGCGACCTGGCTTGGATGTAGGCTAAGCGATACACACACACCGCAAGCGGGTCAGCTCAGCCTGCCTGCCTCCTCCACGGCATCAAGCCCCTCCTCGTTTTATCGTACAGTGGAGAGAGATGGGGAAAAAAGAGAAACGACCGCATATCTATGCGCCGTAAAAAGGAAGCAACGTCACAGACACCACTGGTTTGTGATAATCATAGACGTAGCCAGATGAAGATAGGTTTAAAGGCTCAACGCTAGGCTCAGAGATACAGATGAGCAATCGTGCGAGATAAAATGAACCCGAGAAACGCGATTGAATATTAACGCATGAAAGATGTAAAAGACTGAGATCTGTCTTTTTTTGTAATGCCTTGAGGGGGGGAAACACATGTAGGCCTATCCTATTGAGATATTTGAAATAATGAATTTTAAGGAGTGTTTTATTTTGCACATTGCATCATGACTTCATAAACATTGTATTCTATTTCATTTGATGAGTTTTTGGCTGGATTTACATCTCTGTAATAATTAGAGAGTATTCAATCACACTAACATCTTTCTCTGTGTATCATCTCTGAGCTGTTTTTTTTTTAAATCTGAGCAGATACTGCCATCTAATGGAGATGTTCAAGCCTCCATACAAGCATAGGCTCAGACGCTTGGAAAATAAACCAGTGGTTGTCAAGAAAACAAGTAAAATTCAGTATTATACACTATTTCTTCAAACCTTTCCTCCTGCTTATTACTAGACATGTTATATTGAAAAGCGTAAAACTGTATTCACCAACAAAAAGTTGACTCACACAAAGACCCACAGTACATCTGTATGTCTATGGAGCTGTGTGTGATCAATTTTAGTCTTAGATTACATTTTCATTAAAATAGTTAATATTTGTGTATGGACATTATGATTTAACTCAAATTCATTATTTTAACCTTGGTGTAAGAGGCACAAGATTTTTAAGATTTTTGAGTCTGGAACGTTTTTTCAAAAAAACAATTCTTAGAAGCTCCCCCAATCAGGACTTTCCTGGTATATTGTTAGCACTGACATCATTCTGTATTTGAGTGCCTGCCTGGTAATGCATTGTAAACAAGTTACTCCACTTGAACCTTGGCCAAGGCAGAGTGGAATTTTTTGACACGATCCCTCCTTTCCCTCTAGAATCCCAAGAGAGCGGAGATAAGCCAAAGGACAATGGTAAAGGGACTGTCCTTGTTGCGTTAGCATCTTATTGAAACAGACCAAAACCAGCACAACTGACGCTTGTTGCAGTTGTACTGTGTAAGTCTGTGTCAAAAAAATGTTTAATGTATTTTTTCAGATTAAATACAGTAACTACTATAGCTAAAGTGCAGATCCACCACAATTACAGTTTTCTGTCCTGCATTTTGGTAATCATTCATCCTATAGCTTCTGTGCCACCACAAGAGGGTAGCACTGATATGACAATGTTTCATGAAGGTTGAAGACCTAAGGGTGCAATGTTGCAATGTGCAACTGGGACATGTGAATTTAGTGATGCAAAATATATCTGGAATTTTCCAAGTGAAATTATGATGCAATAATGTATGTGTTAAGCATCTTAATATTTCTTTAATCAATTATTAAATTAATAAATTAGTGATATACTGTAGGGCCTCAATGAAGAAATGGAATTGGTGGATATACATTATACTCATACCAAGTACACCTGCTACATGTATTTGTATACCACAAGGGCTTCAGTAGAAAGCTATAAAGAGGCTGGATTGACCTGTTGCTCTAAAGCCAGGCTTGTTTTATCACTTTAACTTTTGGTAATGGAACTTCAAATGTTATACAAATGTTTTGAATGCGTATCTTATCAGATAACCTTGTTTGTGTCACAGAACAAATTCATACAGTACACCCCATCTTATCAAAAGTCTGCCATTTGCTTTAAAACAGCTGTTCACCTAGAAGTAAAAGCTTATCTCACGACACAGAGCAGCAGTTACTACAGGGGCAATGCGCTTTGTTGTAGTTTGGATATTTCCATGGGAACCGGTGGACAACGAGAGAGGGAGGATCCTGTGCAATCAGTGTTTGGGGGGGGGGGCGTGTGTTACATCCACTGGTTTCCTGCTTCATTTAAACTGTGTTTGTCTCTCAAACAGCCACAGATGTGCCGATCCTGCCAAGAGAGAAGCTCCATCTGCTGAAAGAGAGCCTCTGGGATTTCTCACAACAGGCTGAGATTTAAGCAGGAGCTATCCGTCCATCCTGTGTGGGACAGCCTTGTGGATTATCTATATCTTCAGAATATAAAAGGTAAGGAAAGCTTTCGGAAAAGTTCATGGTTGTAGATATGATCTCACTTTGAGTGTTACATTTCCGAACATAATGCCACAATTTAAAATGATATATTTTTGATTTTACAGAGTTTCCCACTTGCTACCAGAGGACCCATGTGGTTGGTGGATAAGATCCGTGTGTCAGTGGAGAGATCTAACCTGCCTCTCCCATCAGCAGAACTAAGCTTTAAAATTGGTGACATAATGTTTGGAGAAAAAGGCGACAAACCCAAAATAATTCACCTGTGTCCTTACGTCATCACCCCAGACAACATCCCAGAGTTCTGCATCCCCCCAACCATCCCCTCCCTCCAGGAGATGAAAAATACGGAGCACAGCCGACCTGCTCGAGTCACCAAGGCGTCTCCATGTGAGAGGGCTAGCCCTGAAATAGAGGTGACAAGTTATGAGCTCATGAACCCGCACATCATCCAGGTGGAGAGTGTGGATGAGAGCCCCTATGAAGGCTGCAGTGATGAGGAGACCACCAATGCAGACCCCCAGAGCCAGGCTGCCTTGTCTCTTCCACACATGGCCAGAGCTCAGACCTGCTATGGCTTCTGCACCCTACTGGAGAGCCCCCACACCAGGAGGAAGGAGTCGCTCTTCCACTCTGATCCTGGCTCCTCTCCCCTGCTGCTGCCCCGAAGTCGGTCCAGCTTGTGCTCCAAACTCTCCCCCTCAACTTCGCCATCCTCCTCCTCTCATTCTTCATTCAGCCTCAACTCCCTGACTTCCAGGCTTTCCCCGAGAGGATACTCTCTGAACTGGCAGGCCACTCTGGACAGCGATACAACTTCCTCCACTGAATCCTCTCCCTACAGCTCGCCACTGCTGACCAGATGCCCTGCCAAGTCTTCCCTCTTCAAAGCACTGAGCCATGATCTGCTGTTGTCAAGGAACATGAGGAAGGCAATGGTGTCCAGGAACAATTCCCTGTCCACAGATGAAGGCAGCTCCACAGACAATAGCCCCAATGTCATGAGGAGGGCATCAGATGGGTTAGCTGAAGGCCTGCCGAGCAGCTACAGCCTGGCGCCACCCAACATCTTCCCTATGGACATGACTCTGCACAAAGAGAGGGTAATGAAGGAAAGAATGGCACCCATAGGGAGAGATGGCAGCCTGAGACTCTCAGCAGAGTACTGCCCAGATAACCAAAGACTACGGGTTCGACTGATCAGTGCTGAGGGCCTCTATCCACTCTCTGTAGACCCCAAGATTATCAACTGCAGCGTCAGCCTCTCTCTGGTGCCCGGAAAAGTCCAGAAGCAACGCAGCACAGTCATCAGAAAGAGCCGTAATCCAATCTTCAATGAGGATTTCTTCTTTGATAGTATCTCAGAGGAAGACATCAGTCAGCGGTCCCTTCGCTTTAAAGTGGTGAACAAAATGTCCACCCTGAAAAGAGACTATCTCCTTGGTAACTGTGATTTGCCTCTTTCTAGCATTGTGACATCATAAATAAGTACTTCCTTAACTGTTTATTTATGTTTTGAATTATTTATTTTCTATTTTGTATTGTAAAACAAGATTTTATATGATTAAATTATGGAAAACGATGAAATTGTTTGTCTTTAATACATTTATAAGAAAAAGAAATTGTAAACCATAAATTGTATCACTGCAGAAACAATAACTTAATTTTCTCCATATGTGTTTTTATGATTCAATGCTAGGATAAGCATGAATAAAGAAATGCACCACCAAAGTGAATCCCCACTTAGGATTTGCTGATAAACAAACACAAGGATGTAAATATAATGATATACAGGCTTTTGGTTTGTTAATGTTGCTGCAGCATGAGCTGGAGACAACTGCAGTCTCATATTTGTCCCATAAGCCTGTTGTTTTCTTCCTGACCTTTCCAATGATTAAAATATCACTACAAACCAGAAACCTGAGAGGGGAATTTTCACCGTCGAGTATGCATAATTGTAAACAGTGTTCAGAAGAAGATCTGTTTTTCACCCAGTATGGATACATAATACCAATAACAATTACCGTTAAAACGGAATATGTTCATGAACAACCCATACTCTAGACGTAGAATGCATGTGTTTTTTTGTATCATATGACGCATTCAAGGCCAGGCTATGTTTTAGATTTTTTACAATACTTTTTCAAAATGACACTTTTACTATTGTTATGAAACAAAATGAATTGACCACGGTCAGCTCCAAATGGAAATATCATAGTTACAAATGTAGGCTGCTAAAAGGAATAATAAAATAAAACGGCTGTGTATAAAGACAGGTCTTTTTCAGACAAGTGCAGAACAAAATAGATTAAATGCATGCTGAAGACAAAAAGCTGCACATTTGCATGCAATATACACATACATGTTTACTCAACTGAACAGAGCAGGAACTCTTAATGTAGACTGCAGGCACATATATCCTGCTGCTTTCAGCAATAAAGATCAGGCTTAAAAGCTCCGGCTGCCACTATAGCTCCTAGTTAAAGATTAATAGGTTTCTCAGGGCTTAGAAAAAGCACTGATAGGGGACTGACAACTGCTGGTTATACAGTAGATGTCAAAACAACATACAGTAATGTGAGGAGATACATATAATTAGCTTTTTTTTCACCAAAGATTAACCTGCTGGGAGATTGGCTTTAAAGTCCAATGTCTGTGATGAAGTATGCTTTATAATGCAAATATTTTACAAGATTTTCCAGTCTGGATCGTGCGACTGAGAAAAAGCCTTTGGACAAATACAGCTCATGATCCACTTTCAGTTGGAACTACAGATTCAGCGTAGCCACAAAAACCTTCCATTTCCTTCTCAATTGTTTTGATGGAAATGAGGGTTTTGTGTTTCTACAATACCAGGCCTAACGCGCAGGCTTTTGTGTCATTATAATACATAGGAGCATCTTATTTCTAACAAAGGAACACATAAACATCCCACACAGACAACCTACATTTTTCAACAATACCTCTCCTAAAAGGATTCATTTCCAGATCCTGTGAAGAGGCTGATACTGTTAGGCACTTTTGCATTGAGTGTTGACTCAGCTGTGAAATACCCTGTAATAAATGAGAATTACCCGTGATTCCCCATGCTGGTCAACCACTGATAGGATTCAGAGGGATTTCCACTGATCTATCTATATTCAAAGGAGCGGAAGCGTTGGTTTTATATAGCACATTTGTTACAGCAGCATTAGGGCCTTGATCCAAGCTGGTGCCGCTCATACAAAAGTCTATGAATTGCTCCTGAACAAAAGCATCAAATAACGGCTTGTAAGCAATTGATATTACCCCTTGAAAAAAGCTACTTGAAAAACATATGCAAGTCCAAATAATGTATCCCGTTTTCTTTAACCATTTCACCTTCTTACATGATTAAAAAAACAAAACCTTTCTTTCCATATCTAACAGTTTGGAATATAACATACACATACATATGAGTATATTTTATGTTTGTTTAAAATGCGCTGTAATATTTTTCAAATAAATGTTTATATTTGCCATTTGAACATAAAATACATATGTAAGATTGAGTAATGGGAATACAAGATTGTGGGTGTGTGTCCATAATTTGCAGTGTTTTTGGTACTTACCTCTGATTACTAGAAGTGATTTCATATTATCTGTAGGAAACATCTGTCTCCCTAAGAGCTGTGCATCATGAATGCAAAGGCGCAACAGGGGAAGTGCACTGGCTTAATCTCAAGTGTCTGAAAACAGTTGCCTGGTTACCTTCATTCATCAGGATGCCTTTGCCCAGCTAATGCACATTTACCATTTCAAAGTAATGAGCTGGAATAGACAACAACTACACTTAGAAAACATCAGGTATACTTACACTAATATACTTATATATACACAGTCATATTTGTGAATGTCCTGCTACCATTCAGCTTTATAACTGCTGCAAAAGCTATTCAATGTTTTTTGGATTGGAGACCGAATGTTGTTTTCTTTACTTGGAAAAGCAACAGTTTCCCTTCCCCTACCATATCTTTTACCCAGTGTAAATCAGTCTGTTCAAACCAGTTTCCTTATCACATTTTCTGTTTTACCAGGCGCTTGTATTGTGCCAAAACACATAGCAGACAACGTAAAATGTCACTGTAAACATGTTTGACCAATGTTGTCACCAGTAGGTACCCCACCTACTTATGTTCTCAGGGTAACAGCTGCTTTAGAAATAGGGACAATGGCTAGTGGACCTCTTTTGTATTTTGGTATCCAACTCCCATTGCAATCAATCAAATGTCCAGCGAAAACAGCCTTTAGACCAGTGGTTCTCAACTGGTCAGGCCTCGGGACCCACTTTTTCCTTTGTCAATAAATCGCGACCCGGAATGTTGAACCACTCAAATCTATTCAACAAAAAATGGTGCTGTAATATACGCTTTTCAGCATACATTATTAAAGTGAAGTAAGTACAGTGCATATCTCCCTTCACAGAACTAAAGTATGCTTTAAAAAAAGGTTTAATGAGATGATGGAATCAAAGCTGAACTGTACATAAAAAGGCACACATGCTGAAAACCCAACCCCAGAGATTTTTAGTACTAACATATACAGTAAACTACGCATTCTGGTACACTCTGAGAAGAAAATAAATAAATCTATTACTACCCGACATATTAATAATATTTTATGACATTGTTTGTTTTGCACTTTGTTCTGACAGCTGAACTTGCTGCTCCACACAGAGAGAGGAGTAAAGAGGAGATAGTCTGTGTGAATTACTTTAAATTGTGGGTAGGGTAGATAGCCCCCATTGTTCTGTGACCTGTCAATCATCAAACCGGGGGTCATATTTCATTATGTGTTCATTTTTATCTGAAGTTGTAGTACAACTTCCATGGGTACAACTGTTGTACCCATGGATGTATAAAGAATAGTTCTACCGCAAAGTTATTCTCCGTGGGGACTTCCGGCAACAATCTTGATTCTGATTGGCCAGAAGACTCGAAAAAACATCAGCAAAGATGTTTTATTGAGAGGATGATCACTATGTGACAGAAGTTTTCAAAACCGTTTATGGTCTCCGGTACTTCCAGTCCAACGCCTACTGCATGCACAGCGTTAGAAAATCGGGCCTTCAAAATAAAAGTTTGACCTTTTTCCACAAAAAATAAATAAATGTAAACAATGATTTCTATGTTTTTTTTTCACTCACACATCTGCGACCCTCTCAAAACGGGCCCGTGACCCACTTTTGGGTCGCGACCCACCAGTTGAGAACCACTGCTTTAGATGTCATACACATGATGTTGTTAAGTTGAAATATTCTGATGTCTAACATTGATAGAAGAAGAAAGGAACTTCTATTGTAAGTTGATAAAAAAAGTCGAGCATACTGTATAGGCCCATCATATTGACTGGAGACAAGAAAGATAAATCCTTTCAAAAGCTATATGTAATCCTCTTTTACAATATTGAACAGCATTAATCAAATTACCTGATTAAAAGAGGTTAAAATGTTCCATGATGTCAGCAGTGATGCCGAGTGATTGTTGTTTCAGCGTCATGATACCAGTGTTTATGGCCCCACTCTTCAAATTGGTAAACACCTCCTTCAATGTTCATCCAGCACCAGATTAGTCATGAGTAAGCTATACACTTTATTTTAGATGCGTCATTAGGCTGTGTGAGGACACAACACGTACAGTAAGATGAAACCAGACCCTACTGACACACACTGCCGATGCCTGGTGGTGCTCCAATCTCAGTGGGACTGCAGTATTTATTTTTATTTATCTATCTATTATTTTTATTTCAAAAGGATAAAGTTAAGTTCAAGTTTACGTTTTGGCTGAGACACATGAGCTACTTTATGGTTTCATTAATAGAATGACTTGACTCAATATATTCCACATTATTTCCAGTGTGACAGTGCCATTCTGCCTCTGTCTAGTTAGTGACAATGTCTTTTCAAAAATGGCCAAATTCAACCTGATGGAATCACCTTACATCTTGTTATCTGCATAGACATTTCCCAGTATATGATAAGGTCGAGAACACCTCATGTTGTACTGTATCTGCACGTAGCGGACTCATCACTTAGCCTGTGCACCTGTCCTGTGTGACAGCACCCACTCAATCACCTCAGGCTCTGCATGGAGCCGAGTCCAAGCGTGACCGGTTCAGTACACAACAACCACACATACTGTAGGCAGGACTTCCTCATATCTGATCACACTTATATAAGCATAACCAAGGTGTTTAAACTTGCTCAACCCTGCTCTCATACGTAACAGTAGGTGCTGAGACTCCATATGAAGCTGGTGTGTTGCTTCAGGCAATCACTCACAAGCAGGGCTGTTTAATTGTTGGTTATCTTGACAGTACGTCAGTAAAAAGGGGAGGCTAATAATAACTCATCATGTGGCATGTGCAACACAGCAGTTGTGTGTGTTCATTTCTCAGTTGCCCCCAGTGATGAGTCTGATCACCCTTGTGAACATGCTGTTCGGATGGTTAAATGCATTTGGACAATCAGGACAGGGCTTGCACAATGTTGTCTGCATAGCCATTAAACAGTTAGGCAAACAGTCTGCCAGGACACAGATCATGTGACGGGG